AACACTTACATATCAACACCAAACCATACTATGCAGACTTAGCATACCCAAAACCCATCCCTTGTGTGCGCGATAATGCTAAGTGCTCATATTTATTCAACTTTAAACACTTTGTGTGTAGTTTTTCTCTACGTGACAAATTTGGTATGTAAAAGTAAACAGACAGTGTTTAATTTTGCACACACTAGGAGAGGAAACTGGTTACCTCTCTTTATGTGCGTAAATTTAAACACACATTTTTTAGAGGAAATTTTAAACATTTTATATGTAAACTGTGAAATTGTGAACAATAAATGTTTAGAACTCAAAAAACAAATTTGAAATTCGTTTTACGCCACACATATGATAAGTAAAAGTAAGCAAGCAGTGTTTAATGTAATTAACACGGTGTGTAAATTTGCATTCATTAGGAGAGGAAACTGGTTACCTATCTTAATATGCGCAAATTTAAACAAACCTTTTTTAGAGTGTAGCATAGCATTTAATTATTAAATGTAGAAAACTACTTTTGTCCCATTTATAACATGATAGTTGAGCTTTCAAATTGTGTTTGGTCGAAGGCGGAAATTTAAAGTAGCATCCAGTACCCATGGATTTTCAAGGAGTTCATAATTCTCGTTATCGCTTACTTTACGGCGATAAAAATTTGACACATCATTATCGGTCGCGGGGAATTTAAAACCTGATTTCCGGGACGCAGAGGACTGTGAAATCGCCGGCATCTTGAAAACAGTGATGGTCAAAGTTTTTTAAAACTTAGAGAAGCAAGTATTTTTAGCCCTTAATCAAACTACGCCTAATAGTTAGTATTCAATTTAAATAGTTCATTATTTTTTACAGACTGCATTCGAAACGTATCACGTTTTGTTTTAGTTATTCACGGACATTGAAAATACACTTTTTTTCCGAAATTGGTAAATTAATTGTATCTCAAAATATGGATCAGTAACGCCGCGTTCACTTTGAAACTCTAAATGATACGGAGCATGCAAGATATTTCAAGATGCAATTTGAGTTCAATTATTTTTACCATTCCGAAAGCTTCGAAAACCCCTAAAATTCAAAACAAAGATACGAATTTAGTACAGATGTAGTAAATTAAGGGATTATGTTAGTTCCAAGGTGAATTTACACAAGGTGGTATGATTATGCATTTTTATCCATTAAAGATGCCAATAAAAACCGATTACTTAACATACTTTAGATGACTTCAAATTTGGATAGAATTTTATTTACAGTATATGGAAAATGAATTCAAGGTAGCCTGCCCATGTTGAAATAGACATACTTCCGATGGGCACATTACAACTAGATGAAATATTTACAGCAAGCCTGGACACCTCATACGAAAAATGTCAAAAACGTCATTTCCGTGAGTGCGGGCGTGCGAGAGAATATGCCATTTCGTATGAGTTATCTATCGACATCAATATTTAGTCCGGTTGAAATCAAAATTTCAAGTCACTGTAATATTTTCTAATTATGGGGGTTTGTACATACCTCCAAACCCCCTACCTGCGTTCGCCCCTGGGACAGTTTATATTTGAGTTCACGAGTACCCCCCAACTGACTTCTTCTTGGCTATTTTGTTAAGAGTAAGAGCTGAAAAACTGGTAACTTCACCATTGGTTTGCTCAATTGCGACATAAATCAAATGACAAACATCGTTTGCCATATGTAAGCTCTGTAAACACAATCACTTTCACAGCGATCCTGTTCGCTACCCCGAACAGACAGGTTAGTACGAGTGTTTAGTCTCCCTGCAGAAAAAATTATCAATTATTAAAATAACCAACTTCTAGTTAGCTTTTTTGCAGGATTTCGATAAATAACTAACATTTAATTAGCTATGCCAAAACTAACTTTCAGTAAGTTGTAAAGTTTGTGAGTTTGTTTCCTTTACAAGTTTCTATTTAAATATCCTCATACAAAAATTACTTCCAATACACTTTTTTTCTGCACTTCGCAGATTCCTTTTCGTATTCAGGACAAATAAAATAAAGGTCGAAATTTTATATTACCATTTTGATGTTATGTCTGATCGAATAAATAAAAATATAAAAAATTAAAATTTTATTTTTTTTTTATTGATAGTTTATGTCCAAAAGTTAGCTGTAAGTTAGTTGACATCTCATGCAGAGAAAACCAGTTCGCACAATTTCCGTCCATCGCCCTTCAAAAGTAGTTACTTAGTTGCGGCCAACGGAGGTAGTTAATAAATAGCCATCACTAGTCGACTGCTAGTTAGTTAATAGTTAGCTACAAACTATAGCCATTTTCTGCAGGGCACTTACTCAGCTGAAAAGCTGTACATGACATTGACATACTTACATATGTGCGTACATACATATGTACGTATGTATGTAGGTGCATTGCGTGGATGCGAATGCGGCTATTTAGTTGTGGCAGCTCACACATTTTCATTGGACTTAATTGCGCATGCGCAAACTCCGCGTGGTGGCTGTGCGCAATCGATTTCGTTTTTCATAGAAATGACAACGAAAGTCATTTGACCGGTAGTAATTTGAATTAAATTGAAATAAAATGTCTGTGAGCGGATCCACTTTTTTCAGGTGCAATGATCAAGTGGTGCCGCGACGTTTCGTGGCCATTTGTGGCACCAAATATGTAGTTATGTAGTATTTATATATCCTAACCAAAACTTTCAAATGTAACGTACATACTGTACATAGTACCGGCATGAGTGTTTATATGCGAAAATAAGTACATAAATATATGTTTAGTCTGTTACAATAGCAGTCCCGTTTACAGGATTTAGTCAGAACTTACAGGAAGTCGTTCCTATTGACATAAAACCTGTAAGTGGGAACACATTTGAGAGAGTAACTGAGCAACTGTTCCTAGTCAGAAGTTACAGGATTAAGTCCGGAGTTTTTTTTCCTGTAAGTTCATGAAAAATGTCAAACGAACAGCTGATTTGCATGTGCAAACCAAAACAGAAAGCGGCGTAAGCAGAGAACCTTATATTTGTAAAAAAAAAAATGGAAGTAAACAACGAAATATTTGAATATATTTAGATTTTAATAAATAGTTAGGCTGTGTGCGAGTTGACCTAAATTTGAGTACCTGAACTAATATTCCACTGGAAATTTCCAGCACTGCTACAATTTAGGAAAACAGCTGCTAAAACTGTGCGGGTTCGTTTGACAACCTAAACTGTTTGTTTTGGAATTTGAATTTGTTTGCTTTTAATAAATATATCTATAAAATGAATAATTTTGTGGTAGCTTTGGGACTATTTAACAATATAATAAATTTGCAACAGAAAAGGAGAATGCTCCATCCTGGCATCTATAAAATAATCCATTTGCTCTTCTGACCCTGCGAAGTAATATATATCCATCGAATTGCATATATACTTATCTGAATGCAAAAATCAAATAAAATAATATACTTAATCTTTCTGAATATTTTCTTTTTTGTGCCATAGCAATGATAAAAATTATTTAAAACATCAAAAAATCGTTGTTCGTTTAATCGCTCGCTCAAATATATTTGGCTGTTCAATTTAGGTTGAAAAGTATGCTCGCAGAAAATCTAAATTGTTCCTATTCACTGCGTTACCGACACTTTCCAGTGATTTAGGATTTTTCTCTACTTAGGGAGCAATTTAGACGTACTCGCATACAGCCTTAGTGATATTTCAGCCAAATCAGTGTTGTAGAGATGACATGTAAACAAACCGACTAACGTTTTTACAGGAAATAGTGCTTTTTGCGTTCCCGTGCACTTCTGCATCTGTTCTACTTTTATTCTCACTTGAGAGAGTAAAATTGTAGTCTGACAGTTCCACAGGTTTTAGTCCGAAGTTCAAAGGAACATACATACTAATAATTTGGCAATTATTCGTAGCAGGTTCACGTGCAAAGTACATACACTCATCCATATGTACATTGTGTATAACTGCGTGAGTAGATAGATATGTGTACATATGTACAGTCGTTGACCGGTAACTAGAATTCGCTTTTTGCCAAGGCTCGTTTGGCACAATTCAGTTTTTGTGCAATCTCCGAGGCAGTTTGCGTACATACATATGTAGGTATGTATGCATTAATGTATGCTTATTCATTCGTACATACAAACAAAGTGGGCCGGTCCTATTAATGTGCCTCGGTTTTGGCACAAGTGTATGCATCACTCTGTTGGCTGTTGGTGTGTGTTCACTTACATACATACCTGTCCAAATTAGAAAGTAAAACTGTTTGAGCTACAGATCGATAAGCGAAGAAAGCTTGTCAGTCAGCATACATACATATATGGGATGAAAGGAATATGGCACAAAAACTCACATACATATGAACATGTGTACTTCCATATGTACATATGTATTTACGCATTTACTTATTCTAAGCACTTTTTGCTTTTTGATACTTTATCCACCATACCGAGTCTTCTGGACCCTTTTTTGAAGAAGACTCACGGAATTTCATTGAAAATGACGGAAGTAGCATAAATGTTTTAAAGGGAGCAGGTATTACAGGACTCTCCGAAATTTAAATAGTTTTCAGTGTTGAAAAGTCCCCATATCTGCGATCAAGCTACGCCACTACAGTAGTTTCATACTTTATATACGAGTATCATGGTCGTAATTAGCGTTTTGGATATGAGAATCCTTCAACTTATTTGTAAAATGCGCATTTATGGCCCGATTTGTTTTTTCATTGTTAGAACGTACCTACATACATTACTTAAATGGGAAGAAATAACTCCACCGCAAATTCAGCCTTTAGGTGCCGCGGGGCTCGAGTTTACTTTTTTTATTGACGACTAATAAAAGCTTGTCTTTAAAAGTTTTTGCTTTAATTACATGCGACCTTATTATGTATGTATGTTACCGCATATCTTTGGACCACGTGACTACTAATTTGGTTAAGTTCCCATCTTTGGATCATGAAGAATTTAACGGTATACCTAACTTTTTTTTATAAGAATTGAAATCGGTTGCTACTGCTAACGACATGAAATGAAACAAATTATTTGAATATTCAGTGTTTAATTGGAACAGACACATTAGCACATACACTGTACGTAAGTACGTAAGTGTGTATGTATGTAACATGATATATATGTATGTCAATAAAACAATATAATGTAAATGTACATGGCAACTAGAATAAATAATAAATGTATAAGGAAAAACTCTAAAGCTAGTGTGAAGAGTACGAGAGGATTCGCGACGCTGTAGGCAATTAATATAAACATTTCGTAGAAGCTTAACTTTTAGCAACTGTTTACGTCATATCCTATAGTTTTCTTCTTACATATATGTAGTTGGTTAGTAGTCGATTATGCAAGCAGCGCACGAAGCGCTCCTCTGGACTAATGTGCTCATTTCAATTACTCCTGGATAAAGAGTGACAATTGCTTGCTGCGAGAGCTTTCAAATCGGTTTGGTGTTTTAATGTCCATCAATACAATTAATCCAATCGACAGAATGCCAACTAGGAAAAGCGTTACTAATATGCCAGCCCAAATGGGTGCAGTGGTAAATCCAACACAATCGTAAACGTCGCCAAAGCGCGGTACTCCATTCAACCAGGGCTGGACCTATGTACATACATATATGAAAACAAACAGACAGTTAAATATATAGAAATGTGCATTATCAGTGTATTGCTAGCCACCTGAAAGTCACTTATGGTAAGACTGTCACTCTCGTTGCCAAATTGTAAATTACGCGAGGAGCAGCGGTACGAGAAGCCAATAGGTGCCGAAGGAATGCTGTAAAGCGTACCCACAACAGGCAAAACCGATTTGTATTCATTGTACTCCACTTCAACGGCCTTCATGTACCAATAACCACGACTCAATGTAAAGTTGAAGCGCAAGAATAACTTCTGTGTATCCACCGAGAAAATAATGTTGAGACGCCCGTAACCCTTTCCCCTTTGATCATCGAAGGTGACATCCTTATTGTGCGACACAAGCTTAGTGTTGTTGAGCTTGCCGGCGATGTTTATTATTGGAGCAGAGGTCACATATAATACAGCCTTTTGACCTGAGTAATTAAGAGGGAGATGTGAATATTACTTAAATGTTAAGCGACAATATACCGGCCGAATAAGTGATACATGTGTACATATGTATGTGTGCAAGCTAAATAAAAACTTAAAATAAGACTGAGAACCGTTGCATAAAACGTTTCGTTACGGTCGTTTATTTGTGGAACAATACATATAAAGAAGCATACCTAACAATAAATACTAAATGGTAGTTGCATTCAACGGTTTATCTGTTAAACTAATGAACTTACAGTAATGAATGAAGTAAATGAAGTAAAACGAACGCTTGGACCAAAGTTCTCAACAATACTCCTCATTTCGTACCCATATTGCGATCTTTTAGATAAATTGTATATGATCGAAAATAAGTGGCAACCCTACACTATTATCCTAAGGGATAACACTTTGTATACAAGGAAAGCATTGTTTAAGAACCTTCTCTTGGTACACATCAATAGTAATATTTTACCTTTTTTTCTAAACAAAAAATTCAATAAATATGCAATTCAAAATAGGTGGCAACCCCCCTGAAAATATGTTTGAATTAGGGATTTTTAAAATACCTTCCATTTGATACACATGCTATGATGTTTGAATTAATTTATAATTAATTTCGAATAGGTGGCAGCTTTATATGAGTCTTCTTGGAATGGGTTATTCAACACTCAAAACATTGTCTGTGTACAAAATTCATCAAATTCTTTAGAGCGTTTCCGAGAATCCTATGGCTATATATACACATATGCAAGAATTCATCTTTTAATGTAATACGATTTAGGAGGTGGTATGGAAAAAAACCGAGTGGGCATACATTTTTTTTTTTTTTTAAGATTTTAGTGTTCTCACCAACTGCTACGTAAATAAAAGTTTTGTCTTCTTCCTCAGCGGTTGGCGTTTGAGAGGTCGTTGTGGCCCCCCGCTCCTCCTCTGTGCGTTCGTCACGATCTTTGGCGTCCCTTTTGGCAATATAATGTGTGTCCTCCTCCCGACTGGCTAAAATGCCCAGTACCTCGCCTTCACCGTAAATGGCGACAGCGTCATCGTATCCAGATATGAGTACTTGATCTTCCTCCTCAGCAGATCCGGTTAGATTGATGACCTTCGGACGAAAAGAAAATTGAAAAATATAGATACTACCACTGCCGTGGACTAGGATGTCGCAGACGGGGGGGGTTGAATATTCTTAATCATGCCCAACTGTGTACATCAACATATGAACATATGCACCTAATTGTGCGTCTGTGAAGACATCTTTATGTGCATACATTTGTACGTATGTATGTATAGTCATACATATTTACTCGAACATTTGGCCTCTTTATATTTTCGCATAATTATTTGTAAATGCATGACACTACCAAATGTGATTTCTTACCTCTATGTTGGCATTGTAGTTGAAGGGTTCAGTGGCGAGAAAATGTTGCGGCAAATAGGCCCAGCCATTACTCTTTACCAGCTGTTGGAACTTTGGATAAGCACTGCCATCTAAGCGTCCGGTGGCGTTTCGCACAAAAATCACAATCGCTTTGACGTCCTGAAACAAATTGGTGAGGTCGTCCTCGCTGGCTTCGACAAGGGCGCGCGGTTGTAAAGCAACTACGCTTTGATGCCCCCAAAATAGGTACGGGCCACTTAGAATGGTGGCGCTGCAAGTCGTAACGGCTAAACTCAAGTAAAACGCTAGAAAAACGCAATGCATTATTGAATTCAAATTTGTTAAGTTTTAATGTACTGCTGCTTCACTCAATGGCCAGAGAATAATTTTTGCACGAATGTTGGCTAGTGCACACTTGGAACTTGTGTTGTAAAAAAATCGGTCCGTTTCCAATCGATACTAAGGGCGAATGTTTCGACGCAGGCGCAGTGCATTGGAGAAGCATAAAAATTAATAGTACATAAATACATACATACATACATATTTCCACATGAAGAGAGAAACTTAGGGTAGATGATTGCCCACACGATTGAGGGGTGACAGAATCACAGCAAAGGAGGCGCTCTGCTTGATGTGTTGCAGAGAGAATTTATAAATAAGTTGTGTTTATTTGTTTATTGAACGAATGGAAAAATATACAAAAACGGCAGTTAGTTAATAAAATCTTGCCCACACGCACACATCACATCACATTAAAGTCCTATATTAATATAACAAATTTATTGCTGAATACTATAGGTATACATAAATAAGTTTTTTACGATCCAAAACGCGAATATGAGATAATTTGGAAAAGATGGAATGTTGGAACTGTTGGAGAAACCGCCGGTGAATGACTTAGTGCCTGTAAAGATTTTTAGCATGAGATTATTCTTAAATTTTAGTTAGATTTCAATATGAAAATGGATATACTTGTATATTTATTTTGATTATACAAAATTTGCTGAATTACTAAAATACCAAGTCTTGCACAATTGCATGTTTTCCACATGGCCGTTACGCTCAAATTGCACTCGAAAGGGATTTATGTACGCGCATTAGACCGCATCACAATAATGAGATAAAATTCTTTCAAATGTCTGCAAATATCAACGGTAATAAATAGCACGAATATAAATTCAAAATCTTTTGTTTTCGATGTTTTGAAAACATTTTTGAAACCATTACAAATCGAAGCATTTGCATATCATTGCTGAAACACTTAGGGCCATATTTCAGACCAAGTTTAAACTTAGACCACGTATACAGCGTTTAGATTTTATTATTGAATATTACTGAACAGCTGGATGACATTTGATTGGCTTGGCTTAGTTTAAAACAGCCAGCTCGAGCCGAAGCCATGCAATTTAGTTCGAAATCGATCGGAACATTTGACAGTTTTTTTTTGCCCACATATCGTGATACGATCTAATGTATGTACATTCAGGATCTACTAATATTTCTGTTTACTTACGTTTCTCATTCGGATCTCTTACACCACAAGTTCTGTATGAAATTGTGGCCTTTCTCTTGGCATTCACGTACCCTGGAATGAATAGACTGGGAGCATCCAGACGTCCGGCAGCTATAAGTCGTGACATGTCCTATGGAAAGAGTAAGCAAACATTATACAACTGTTTTTGCAATAACTTAATAGTTAATAGTTTCAAATATTGATCTCTCATGAAGAGCGTTTAATGTAAAGAAATCTGGCTGTCTAGCATTGGAAGGAACAAATTTAGGTACATGCAAATGTATGTACACTACCAATACTTACAGATTCCCCTAAATTCCGAAAAACTAAGTTATACATAATTTCGAATCAGTGGCGGATCCAGCGGGGAGTTTTGGGGGTTAAACTACTACTACGTGTCAGTCAGTGGCGGACCCACGGGGGGTCGTTTTAATACATAGACGTCATATTATGCACACATATGCGTCATCTTAAAACACCCCCCGTGGGTCCGCCACTGACTGACACGTAGTTTAACCCCCCAACCCCCCCCCCCCCCCGCTGGATCCACCACTGTTTCGAATGAATTGTAGATTACCAGTTCTAAACGATGTGCCAGGGGCCCTTTGAAATGTATTATCATTTGTATGCAAGCGCCGCCATGCAACTCCTTGGTTTTACGCGCATCCACGTCCAACATCCATTCTGGTATACCCATCACGGAACGCAGTTCTTCCAGAAACTGCGCTCTGAAGAGAAACATGCAACATAGATAGACATTAAGAAAGATCAGACAAATTAAAAATTCTGTACAAACGGGACGTACACAACAAATCTTGGTGGTTTCTGCAAATTAACATATTTGAAAACATTATGATCTGGCTCAATGTTAGCACAGGCAAAACGCTCCGAAGAATGATCAGGGCCAAAGATCACAATAGAGCGGCCTATTGCTCCCACAGGGCCTTCGAGCGGAAAGTTAGAGTCTGTAAGAACGACTCGTTCAACACCTAGGTCTACAACAACCGAGGGAGGGATAGAGAGAGAGGGAGTTATGTGACGAAATGTGGTAAGTAGCATTAGGTATTTTAAGATAATATGTACTTATGGTTCCAAGTCGCGCCCCCACATCGCCTACATAACAACGTAATGGATTATCGGGACCACATTCCTGCTCGTATAAGTCACGCTATAATTTAAAAAGCATCCATTATGTGTATCTGCATATTCAATACTAAATAAGTATACGTGTCTATATCGAGGGTACTTTGGCAAAACCTCGTATCTCAAAACACTCTCAAACAATACTCTCTAACAAAAATCTCTCTATTAAATAGTAACAGAAAATAATGTGTAATAACTTTTATACTGACTATTTGGTAAAGGACTATTTTGAACTAATTTTAAGAGATAAGAAGTAGTAGTGATTTCTGGGATACGAGGTTTTGCCAAAGTACCGTCAATATGTATATTAGCCAAGTTGTGCTCACATTAAGGGGATCTGCCAGTTGAGTGTAATACGGATTCCACACATATCCACCGGCAACACATCGTGTAATTGTGGGTTTTACAGCTGCATCTACCCCAACAGGATTCACATATATTTGCCAGTTATGGTTATAGGTCTGAATATAGAGAGTTCTTTACCGCTTGGCTCCAATTTATTCCATCATTTATTCTTACCATATTTCTATCGTTTTTTCCCGGATGTCGTAATTTTACCTCGACAACCGTTTCCGATTGGCTGCCGTCGATGTGTATCAGCTGTGTCATTTTGACATAACCATAAGCATAACCAGTGGGGTGGTGAAACGATGCAATGGCACGTATCTCTCGCGCTTCGCTAGGACTGTAACCACGCTCCAAAGTACTACAAGCCCAACGAGCATTTCTGCGCTTCTTGTGTATTACTACTGAGCGCCCGATAACACTATTGTAACCGAAAAGTGGCAAGTTGGTATCATTGTAGGTATCTTCGAACTGGGTGACGTCATCAAGAGTTCCGAATTTGCCACTCAAATCACCCATTTCATATTGATCAGTCGTCCCTTGTCGTGGAGGGGGCGAGTTCTTTGCATTCACGTTGTAGGGGTTCCAGTGCCCATAAAGAGTAGTATCTTCGCAGGGAAATTCAAGATTCGCTTCAACCGGTGTCTAAGAAATTTCCCCAAGTGACTTGGCTTATTATAAAACATCAACCGAATTTCTCAGATTTTAAGTACTTACCATATGTATGTGATAACCGCTAGTTTCTTTTAGGCCCTTTAACTGGACCTCGATATTGCTGATGTCATATTCCGACTGCTGTGTGATCTCAAGACGTCCGCTTACAGTCAACTCATCTCCATTGGCATACCAATCTTTTGCCACTACTTTGCGCCGAAAATGCCCGATGATGCTACATTATTCAAAAAACATTGAGACCCTTTTAATCTAATGAAACCAAATTTCACTTACGTTGAACATGCAAGCCGTTCGCCCCGTGCCTTCGGACCAAAGTCGTCATAGATTACTAATGATTTGCCCAGAATGCTATGTCGCCCAGACAATGGTAAATTTGTATCGGTGAACATAAGTCGGCTTAAGCGCTCCGCATTTTTCTTTCTTCCTGCTATTGTCAAAGTTCCCACGCGTGTGTCCAAGGCTCCCACACGACACATGGCCGGTAGATGCGGCTTACATAAATCGTCAACTGAACGATTTCCCCACTGAACTTTGTGTGGATTATATACGTTTCCTGCAGAGAGACAACGGTTCTGCCAATCGTAAAAATCTTTGCCAGGTGCATTAGTATGTATGGCCCAGCGATGCTCAAAGGTGTTGTTTTGTGTGGATCCATCGGCGTGTATAAGGTATTCAAATATAACTGAGGTGTCCTGCCATGGCTCTTCCGCCGGTTGCCGGAAGATAACTCTGCCCACCACGGGATAGCGCAGCAATACTTGTGCCGTAACCATTGGTTTCTGATAGATACCGTTCTTTCGATATTGTGTTATTGTCGAACAACTCCAAGGTGCTTCAGTGATGTTGTCAACATTGGTGCGATTGTACGTGAAGATGACCATACCGCGATGCGCGATGCTGTTAAGCCCCTGTAACGGTAAAAATGTGTCCCAGTAGAGACCACTTAGTTCTGAACTAACGCCTGGCAGAAGATAATTGTGATAGTAGTCCTTATTGCGGCTTTGTAATTTTCCACTTAAATCGCCAATGGGGTATTGATCTTGGGTACCAAATCCCGGCGGTGGTATAACTTCCTTGCCGAGAGCACGTGGATTAAAAATATTTCCGGTAGACTCACAATAATCGGGCGAACCTTTACGATGCGGGATGGTTGGAAGAGAATGTACCCGAAATGCGGAGACGTCCTCAGCGAATTTTCGGTTTACAAAACGTGCTTGTTTACCAGCTGACTCGATTGTAAAATTGAGAAAGGTAGGATCGAAACGGGAACGTTGAGTAAAAGTTATTTCTCCTTTAATGCCGCCAGAGTTCAAAAAGGTTCTTGGAAGAAAGAAAATAAGGAATGAGAATAAGAGTTTAAAATCTAAAAGCAAGTTATGTCCGCAATTCCTACTTGTATGTCAACTGCTGCACNAATTTCTCCTTTAATGCCGCCAGAGTTCAAAAAGGTTCTTGGAAGAAAGAAAATAAGGAATGAGAATAAGAGTTTGGAACCTAAAAGCAAGTTATGTCCGCAATTCCTACTTGTATGTCAACTGCTGCACATGACGAATTTGTGTACATGCCAGGAAATTGTCTGGATGTTGATCATCGAATAGCACTAAGTACAGCGTCCGATGGGGTATCGATAAATCAGAGGGCAGTAAAACAAATTTATCATCTCTATATGTAGCGCGCTGCGGAGAGATCAATGCATTCTTTGCGACGTTGATCTTTCCCAATCTGGCGTCGAGATCACCAATACCCTTGTTCTCACCGTAGCCTTGAGGATCGAAAACTAGCTGCAGGAAATTGCAGTTGTCTTCGGTGCGATGATGATCGTTTTTAAATATATCCGTTACAAAAATTTTCCAGCTATGACGTGTCATCGGCTTGCTGGAGTGGTCATCAGAACTTTCGGCTTGTATATGATATAGATCAGAATATATGAGTGTATCTCCACCCGCACCCTCTGATGGTGCTAACCAACGAAAATGTACAGAGCCGGCGATTGGCGTGTTGAAACGGGCCTCTGCCATATGCTCCACTGACATCTGGATCGTGGTAATCGTGGCGCAAATGCGGACATCCGTATTTGCCTCCGTAAGAACGAGAGATTTCCCCCAAATTCCCAAATCGCCTGAGGTAATCAAAGAATATTATAGGGTCTCAATGAAACAGGGTTCGTATTTTCACATGCGTACATGCGCGGCACATGCTAAAATTTTACGCTCACACACGTGTGCTGTGCATATAAAAAATTAAAAACTTGCTCACATCACATGTGTGTGCCGTTTGGTAAAAAGCACAGGCACATGTCGTCGCCTGGGTAAAAGATTGTCGTATGTTAATTTCGGTAGGTTGTGGGAAATCGCGATTGAAGTTTGGAATGCAATTTCTCAAAAAGGCGAATATACATTTTCTCCCAAGTCTCTGAAAATTTTACTAGTTCACCAAATTTTTACATTATTTAATTTTTAATGTTTATTGTTAATTAGTTTTAAGTTTTTAAAGGATTTTCTTTACACAATTTTCTGTCCACAATTTTCAGCCACATTGTATGAAATACGACAAAATGTGAACAAAATTTCTACTAAATTAACGACACTTTTTACTCAATATCTAAATCAAACTATCAAACTAAAGGAGATATCCAAAAATGGAGAACGCCATTTATAAGATATTGACTAGTTTAATATGACTGCATCCCCAACTAAATTTTTACTAAATTATCGAAAAAATTGTAGTCAGTAGATATCTAAAAACTGATAACACCAATCGAAAGACCTTATTTCAAAATGTATAACTGCATCTAAAACTAAAGATCGTCAAATCTTAAAATAGTTTTTAATATGTTTTCTGTCATATAAAACACAAACAACATATCAATTTTTATTGAATTTTTTTATAAAAAATACCGTTTTATAAAAAATACCGTTTTATAAAAAAAAAAATGTATTTTAAAAATATGTTATGTGCATGTGCAGAAATTTGTACGAAAATCGGCTCACACACATGTGCATGCGCTTAATAACTAACAGCACACACTTTTCTATCAAGACAGTTGGTTTTCCACCATGATTAAATTATTAAACATTTTGTAAGCCNTGTATTTTAAAAATATGTTATGTGCATGTGCAGAAATTTGTACGAAAATCGGCTCACACACATGTGCATGCGCTTAATAACAAACAGCACACACTTTTCTATGAAGACAGTTGGTTTTCCACCATGATTAAATTATTAAACATTTTGTAAGCCAGCAAACATTTGTAGTCATAAATGAGTCTATAAGGAGTCCTATTTCGAGGGCATTAAGAGCGAAATACACCACACAAGCGGTTTGACAAACCAAGCGAAATTTCCCTTTGCTTCAAGCCATTTGTGCTGTGTATGGGGGTGTTTGAAGGTTTGACGGCGGTTTGTCAAACCTTCAAACACCCCCATACACAGCACAAATGGCTTGAAGCAANCACAAATACGGCGGTTTGTCAAACCTTCAAACACCCCCATACACAGCACAAATGGCTTGAAGCAAAGGGAAATTTCGCTTGGTTTGTCAAACCGCTTGTGTGGTGTATTTCGCTCTTTACGCTCATAATGAACTCATTTAAGAGTCCGATATGAGGGTGTTTCCCTTCCTCCGAAGGTCGGCTTCTATAAGCTTAAATTCATACATCAAATGAGCCTCAATATGAGTCATATTGGACTCTTGTTGGCCACATATGTATATGAATCATTTCAGACTCTTTTTGAGGCTCTTATCGGCCTCATAAATTACTATGTTCATACGGACTTTTATTTTAGGTTCTTCTTTAAGTCTAAAGAGCGAAATACACCACACAAGCGGTTTGACAAACCAAGCGAAATTTCCCTTTGCTTCAAGCCATTTGTGCTGTGTATGGGGGTGTTTGAAGGTTTGACAAACCGCTTGAGGGAAATTTGAGCAAAAATCAAAATTTTTTGATTTTCTGGCCGCCATGTTGATGTTTGATCAAACCGCTTGCGTTGTGTATAGCAAAATCGCCTCATTCGCAACGAAATTTTCACCGAGTAAGGACGTAAGAGAGGAAAATGAAAGAAAACCATAATATTTAGCATTGCGAACTGGAAGAAAACTAAAATTCTTTGCTTGAACGAGTCATGTTTGCATGGTGTATGGCGAAATGGGAAAAGTAGGTTTGAAGAATGTTTGACAAGCCGCTTGTGTGGTGTATTTCGCTCTTTATTGAACGCACTATATTTGCAAAGGCATTCAGCAATATTTCCTTTCAAGTAACATACATACATACTTACATACGTGCATATACACATTCCAACAAGCATTAAATAGCAGCAGCTGCAGCTTACGTTTGCTCATTTTTTGTTTTCTAATTAATTTAGATTTCTGTATAAACGAGTTTAGATATACATTTCAAATCTTTATTGTTTTTTATTGCCACAAGATGTTGGGTGATAACTTGGACCATATATGAATCCTAAAAGATTCATATAAGAGTAAACAATTTTTTGTTTTCTTACCTACCTAGGACTCCTTTCGGCCTCATATACCCTGAACGCTCAAAATATGTTTGCGGGGAAGTATTTTTTTCTAGAATTTGACACTCCCACCCAAAGTCATGTTGTTTGAAAGCAGGAGAAAAAAGTGAAGAATTCAATCACCTTTCAAAAAGTAGCGAAGTGCCACCAAAAGGTGTTCACAATAGTTCATGGTAATATTTGCTTTAATTGTTTAATTGAAACCAGCTTATTTACCGCGAATATAAAACTGCGACTTAGTTTTTCTCTCTGACGTCAGGAGTTTTGTAAAGGGACTTTGAATTTAACATAAATATGGTTATTTAAAAAATTATTTAAAAATTCGGTAAGGGTATCATTTAAAAGGAACTTTTCTGTAGAATTACTACAGAATAAATTTTTTGGTGCATAACGAGGAATGGGTATGGAATATGTCCTTTACAAATTGTGTGCTTAAATATCTTTGAAAATTTGCAATATTTTTTTATTTTTTATTATTGTTTGAGGACTAATATACGCACGACCTCATCGCCGAATTTCGTCCTGCAAACTTTATTAACTTAAAATATAAATTTTTTTAATCACATTTTAATTACCTACTCGTCCTTGTAAACCAAAAAAAAAATTATTGTCTTTGAATTCTACAGAATTTTCGCTCGCATATTGTTACTCTACATTGCACTGCTTTTTTAAATAATTTCTTGAATTAATCCTGACGACAGAGTGAAAAACTAAAAACGCAGTTTTCCCATATTTGGCCCATAGTTTCGTGACTATTACCTTGTTTATAGCGACACATAAAGCGCTTTGACCAAGATCGCGGTGATTCAAAATGGATGCATAAACCAACTTTCAATACGCTCAGAAATTCGAAAGTGTATTGACTCGAATTTGTTTTCAAAACTTTGTCGGTTCGGTTCAGCGGTTCGAACCGTTTTTGCACTTTTGGATTGGTTCGTCAAAGCAGTTTTTTTGGTCTTTGAACCGGGGTTTCGGTTCGGTTCAACGGTCCGAAAAACAAACAAGTAATAAAGTCTAAGTTCGGGCGGAGCCGAACATTAAATACTCGTCGCAAGTATTAAATATATGATTTTC